CAATCCCTAAATTTTTGGCAATTTGGTCTCCTTGGGTCGATCACTTCCTTCTGCAAGGTTTCGATGAATCGTTGCTCCTCCCTTAGACATTTCGCTCGCATGAGGGCAGCCTGGAGCCTTGGTCCGGTCCCAAGTACCCCTCTCTGTCCGGGAAGTCAGTCTCTCTGTCCACACTCTCTGTCCGTACTCCTCTCTCTCCCCACTTCTTTCCCCCCCCCCCCCCCCTTCTCTTCTCCCTCCCCCAATATGGTTCCCCCTATGTATATGATATCTGTATTGCTATTATAGGCCGATAGGCCTCATGATTCCCTTTTTTTTTTCTGTACCTGTTTTGTGCATATTGTTGTATGTTGAACAAGAAAGAAGTTCATTTTGAAATCTTTGCAATTTATTCAAAATAAAAAAACTAAAAAAAACCACATGTACATAAGTATTCACAGCCTTTGCTCAATAATTTGTTGAAGCACCTTTAGCAGCAATTACAGCCTCAAGTTGTTTTGAGTATGATGCTAAAAGCTTGGCACACCTATTTTTGGGCAATTTCACCCATTCTTCTTTGCAGTACCTCTCAAGCTCCATCAGGTTGAGGCAGAGTGCACAGCCATTTTTAGATTTCTCTATGTTGCTTAGCAACATAAAAAGGCATGGATGTCCATGGAAGACAACAGTGGTGGATGATCACAGGATACTCTCTATGCTAAAGAAAAACTCATTTACAGCATCCAGACAAGTAAAGGACACTCTCCAGGAGGTGGGCGTATCATTGTCAAAGTCTACAATCAAGAGAAGACGTCATGAGAGCAAATACAGAGAGTTCACCACAAGATGCAAGCCATTCATAAACCTGAAGAATAGAAAAGCCAGATTAGACTTTGCCAAAAAACATCTAAAAAAAAAGCCAGACCAGTTCTAGAAAAGCATTCTGTGGACGAATGAAACTGAGATTAATCTGTACCAGAATGACGGGAAGAAAAAAAGTGTGGAGAAGGCTTGGAACAGCTCATAATCCAAAGAACACAATGTCATCTGTAAAACATGATGGAGGCAGTGTGATGGCATGGGCATGCATGGCTTCCAGTGGCACTAGGCCATTGGTGTTTATTGATGATGTGACAGAAGACAGAAGCAGCCGGATTAATTCTACAGTGTTTAGAGATAGATATACTGTCAGCCCAGATTCAGCCAAATGCAGCAAAAATTGATTGGACACTGCTAATAAAAAGTGTGGTGAAGGCTTGGAACAGCTCATGATCCAAAGCACACAATGTCATCTGTAAAACATGATGGAGGCAGTGTGATGGCATAGGCATGCATGGCTTCCAGTGGTACTAGGCCATTGGTGTTTATTGATGATGTGACAGAAGAAAGAAGCAGCCGGATGAATTCTGCAGTGTTTAGAGATATACTGTCAACCCAGATTCAGCCAAATGCAGCAAAAATTGATTGGACGCTGCTTCACAGTACAGATGGACAATGATCCAAAGCACACTGCAAAAGCAACCCAGGAGATTTTGAAGGAAAAGAAGTGAAATATTCTGCAATGGCCAAGTCAATCACCTGATCTCAACCCAATTGAGCATGCCTTTCACTTGCTAAAGGCACAACTAAAGGCAGAAAGACCCACAAACAAAGCACAACTGAAGACAGCTGGAGCCTAGCAAAGCATCAGAAAGGAGGAAACTCGGTCTTTGGTAATGTCCATGGTTTCCAGACTTCAGGCAGTCATTCCCATTAAAGGACTCTCAACAAAATATTAAAAATGAACATTTTATTTATGATTATATTAATTTGTCCAATTACATTTGAGCCCCTGAAAATGGAAGGACTGTGTATAAAACTGGTTGCAGTTCCTAAAAGTTGTACTTGATATTTATGTCCAAACCTTTGAATTAAAGCTGAAAGTCTGCACTTTAAATTAATTTGGATTGTTTCATTTCAATTTATTCTGGTGGCATACAGAGCCAAAAGTATGAAAATTGTGCCTGTGTCCAAATATATATGGACCTAACTGTATCTGTGTGTATATATATATATATATATATATATATATATATATATACACACATACATATACAATGGGGCAAAAAAGTATTTAGTCAGCCACCAATTATGCAAGTTCTCCCACTTCAAAAGATGAGAGAGGCCTGTAATTGGCATCATAGGTAGACCTTAACTATGAGGGACAAAATGAGAAAAAAAATCCAGACAATCACATTGGCTGATTTGGAAAGATTACAGTGGAAAATAAGTATTTGGTCAATATCAAAAGTTCATCTCAATACTTTGTTATATATCCTTTGTTGGCAATGACAGAGGCCAAACGTTTCCTGTAAGTCTTCACAAGGTTGGCACACACTGTTGCTGGTATGTTGGCCCATTCCTCCATGCAGATCTCCTCTAGAGCAGTGATATTTTGGGGCTGTCGCAGGACAACACGGACTTTTAACTCCCTCCAAAGGTTTTCTATGGGGTTGAGATTTGGAGACTGGCTAGGCCACTCCAGGACCTTGAAATGCTTCTTACAAAGCCACTCCATTGCCCGGGCGGTATGTTTGGGATCATTGTCATGTTGGAAGACCCAGCCACGTTTCATTTTCAATGCTCTTGCTGATGGAAGGAGGTTTGCACTCAAAATCTCACAATACATGGCCCCATTCATTCTGTCCTGTACATGGATCAGTCGTCCTGGTCCCTTTGCGGAGAAACAGCCCCAAAGCATAATGTTGCCACCCACATGCTTCACAGTAGGTATGGTGTTCTTTGGATGCAACTCAGCATTCTCTCTCCTCCAAACACGACGAGTTGTGTTTCTACCAAACAGTTCTATTTTGGTTTCATGGAGCCCCAGATCGAGGGAGATTATCAGTGGTCTTGTATGTCTTCCATTTTCTAATTATTGCTCCCACAGTTGATTTGTTCACACCAAGCTGCTTGCCTATTGCAGATTCAGTCTTCCCAGCCTGGTGCAGGTCTACAATTTTGTTTCTGTTGTCCTTCGACAGCTCTTTGGTCTTCACCGTAGTGGAGTTTGGAGTGTGACTGTTTGAGGTTGTGGACAGGTGTCTTTTATACTGATAACAAGTTCAAACAAGTGCCATTGATACAGGTAATGAGTGCAGGACAGAGGAGCCTCTTAAAGAAGAAGGTACAGGTCTGTGAGAGCCAGAAATCTTGCTTGTTTTGTAGGTGACCAATTACTTATTTTCCACCATAATTTGCAAATAAATTCTTTCCAAATCAGCCAATGTGATTGTCTGGATTTTTTTTCTCATTTTGTCTCTCATAGTTGAGGTCTACCTATGATGCCAATTACAGGCCTCTCTCATCTTTTTAAGTGGGAGAATTTGCACAATTGGTGGCTGACTAAATACTTTTTTGCCCCACTGTATATATACTGTATATATTATTAGATCAGAATCCTCACCTACATTCAAAAACAGTTTGGTAGATCATTAGACTGACTGTACAGAAATACAACTTATTTGGCAGGAAAGATAACGTGGTAATTTAAAAACAAATGAGTACAGTATAGCATTTCCATCACGTCAAGTCAAACTTTATCAACTTTGGATTAAGGCTTTCTAATAAAAGCTATATTTAAACCTTAGGAAAACGCATGCAAACAGACTTGCTGAGATGGATATAGAATAATATAAGGAAATACTGCTTCTGGTCTTCTTTGGCACTGGATAAATGTCTAATGAACTAAACAATTAGTCAAATGTTCTTTGACAGGCATCAGCAAATCTGAACTCCGACCCTTCCCTCCAACAGACATCACTTATGTGCCCAGAATTAAAATGATCCTACAGCAGAATTTTCTCCTTGGAAGGTGACTAGGTCAGCCCATCTTTTGAAACCCCACTGACAGCAGATGAGCCATGGTTGTTATGGAAGTGGCGGCTGCCCACTCCTTGACAACCTTAACAGTTTCTGGTTGTTAGGGATGCGGCTACCACCAGCTTCTTAACAGTCAGTTAAAATCGAACACATTCCTTAACTATTGCATGCCAGGACTACTGCTTAATTACCAGAATTTATTTATTACCTTTTGTGAATTTATTTTAAGGCTGTTTTATGCAGTTTTTACCAATTGTTTTTGCTTTTTTGTGGTAAATACTGCATAAAGTAATAGTGACATTTTCAGGATTGCATGCGATATTTGGGAAAAATGTCTCAAATCACCTAAATATCGCATGCGATCTGCTTCAGTGAAAGGATCCCAATATTCTCTTCCTAGATTGCTACCATTTATATAACATGTAAGGAATTAATACCATCTGGTTGGAACTATCTTATACCCAGTGTTGTGGATTATTTACAGTTATTTCAAGCAAAGAAGATTAAGATACATCAAGCATTCTTTGTGGTGTGACCAAATCTCAATCACAGCAAATTGCAGGGCTCTGCATGAGAGATGTATGGGGCGGTAATATACAGTAGATATAAAAAGTCTACACACCCCTGTTAAAATGTCAGGTTTCTGTGATGTAAAAAAATGAGACAAAGATACACCATTTCAGAACTTTTTCCACCTTTAATGTAACCTATAAACTGTACAACTCAGGTGGTGGAAGGAAGTAAAAATAAAACACTAAAAAGTTTATATTAACCACCTCCCGCCCGCCATATAGTAATATGACGGGCGCAAGGTGGTTCTCTCGTTCTGGGAGGACATCATATGACGTCCTCCCAGTCTCACTGCGCATGTGCGGCTCAGGGAGCGTGCAGTGCGGCTATCGGTGATGCGCTGTGTCCCTCAGACACAGCGGATCACCGATCTACGGAAAGAGCCGAAGATGTCGGCTCGGTCATGTGATCAGCTGTGTCCAATCACAGCTGATCACATGTAAACAGGGAAATGCCGGTTATCTGCATTTCTCTCCTCATGAGCTGTCACGCTGACAGCTCGAGAGGAGAGGAGAGCTGGTAATCAGCTTTCCGCGGAGGGGACATGTACACTGATCAGTGTGCCCTGATGATCAGTGTAGCCCCAGCAGTGCCACCTGTCAGTGTCCATCAGTGCCTTATGTCAGTGCTCATCAGTGCCTCGTGCCAGTGCCCATCAGTGCCACATATCAGTGCACACCAGTGCACATCAATGCCACATATCAGTGCCCATCTGAGCTGCCTTTCAGTGTCACCCATCAGTGCCAGTCAGTGCCACCTATCAATGCTAATCAGTGCTACCTATCAGTGCTGCCAATCAGTGCCACTTATCAGTGCCAATCAGTGCCGCCTATCAGTGCCAGTCAGTGCTGCCTATCAGTGTGCATCGGTGCCGCCTATCAGTGCCTGTCAGTGCCACCTAACAGTGCCAGTCAGTGCCGCCTATCAGTGCCAGTCAGTGCCACCTATCAGTGCCAGTCAGTGCCGCCTATCAGTGCTGCCTTTCAGTGCCCATCAGTGATGCCTGTCAATGCCCATTAGTGCCACCTACCAGTGCCTCCTCATCATTGCCACCTATCAGTGTCCATCAGTGCAGCCTATCAGTGCCCATCAGTGCAGCCTCATTAGCGCACATCAGTGAAGGAGAAAAGTCACTTATTTACAAAATTTTAACAAAAACTAAGAAAAAACATTTTTTATTCAAAATTTTCAGTGGTTTTTGGTTTGTTTAAGAAAAATAAAAAAACCCAGAGGTGATTAAATACCACCAAAATAAAGCTCTGTCACAAAAAAATGATAAAAAATTTCATCTGGGTACAGTGTTGCATGACCGCGCAATTGTCATTCAAAGTGTGACAGCAGGGTTCGGCCACATGAACAAGTGGTGTGTGCCCACCTACAGGCAGACAACAGGGCCGCCCACTTTCCGCCATTTATCAAGAACCCACCGAAATATGATCTGGTATGCCCAGCTAAGCACTTCCCACCCAGCCCGTGTCCCCTTGACTGGGCTATTACGCCCAGGGGCACAGGAAGGTCTGCCTAATCACATGACCACCATGATTTCCTGTCACAGTAATCACATGATCGGGAGGTGATTGCACCAGATCCAGATTATTAATAGAGATTGGGAACTGTCTCCATGCTGGGAGCACGCAGTGAGTGCGCTCTCAGAACAGAAACCTCTGCTGCCCTTAGAGGCATATCCACGGCCTGTGGGTGTTAAAGCCCACCCTGTTTGCTGATGCACATATGCGTTATGTGGGTGGTATGACGTTTCAAATGTAAACAATATTAAAACAAAACAGAGCATGCAAATGTAGCGCCCTTCTAGTTAGCCAGGGAGAGCTACTAGGTTTTTATAGTTAGATGCTGGATAGCAGTCTGGGATAAGTCAGCCTGGGAGTACAGTAGTGAGGTTACTTCGAGACCAGGGGTGGACTGACCATTTGGAAACTCGGGCACTGCCCGAGGGCCCGGAGTCAGTAGGGGGCCCCATGAGATGCCCCTGGTACCTTTTTCATAGGCTTTTTTGAGTTTTGGCAAGGAGATAGGGGCCCCATGATCCCCTATTGCCCGGGGGCCCCATGAGTTGTCAGTCCACCCCTGTTCGAGACTAGGGAGGTTTTGAGGATCAGAGCTTCTAGAGCCCTACCACCTCACCAGAAAACTGAGAGCTTTCTGGAGGAGGGATGGAGGAGGGGAGGAAGCTCAGATCTGCATACTTTGTAGTATTTTTGCTTTGTTCTTGTGCAATAGCACTGTTTAACAAAATTTTAACAGTTTTTTCTGTTTCAAAGTACCTGTCAGAGTGGATTATGGAACTGTGTCCGTAAGCCCTGTCCCGGCGTTTGCTCTGTTGAGGGAGGTGCCCACATTTCAACATTTGATCTGCGACATTACTCCTTTCATGGAGATTGTTCCTATATTCTGGCAAAGGTAAGTCTAGTGTTTAGTCCTGTGTTACCTACATCTTGACAGATAATATTTTAATTTTTGTTGGTTATATAGATCAATTCAACTTAAACTGTATTTTGAAATAATTAAACCACATACATATTACAGTGCAATGCCAGTCAGTGTTTGAAATTTATAGAATATTTATAGATTTTATTGAGTATATATAGAAAGTATATAGAGTATATATAGAATGTATTAAAGGAAACCTGTACTAAACCTGCAGTAACATGGGAGCTGCATTTGCTGGCCACCTGTCTAGACAATGATCTAAAGAGACCCTCTAACACTGAAAAATAAAATATTTAAAAATGCTTACATGCAGTGTTTTTCTTTCCATAAATTTTAATTTATTTGCAACGTGCCTTTGAATGTGCTGGAAAGTTTAACTAAGTTTTAGTTAATTCTCTTGCACAGCCTTCCTCCCTCCTTACAGGTCAAAGCCCTCTCTTCTTTTGGGAATGTCCCAGTGCACAGCTCCTTCACCCTTCCATTCTTCTCCCTATTTTTGTACTTGCCTCAGGAGGAACAAAAAGGAATACTATACAGAGCCGCTTGAATGACAGCTCTTAGTCTGCTAGGACTACTGACAATAACATTCAGCATGACTGCTACCAGCAGCCACCTCAGAGCTCTTGAATGTCTACACTTTTGGTGGTAAATGACCTGCATAAAATAAATTAAATGAACATACAATCTTATGAAACTACTTTTGTTAAAACTAGTGGTTTGATGACAGGTAATTCATGAGATGCTTACCTGCTCTGGATCAGTGATTTATTATTTCAGTCACTGTCTTAACATTTCTGAACATTTTTAGAAGAAGTCAACAATGGCAGCCACCATATTATCCTCAGCAAAAATTTCCTCTTAGGAATACCTCTAAGTACTGTAAATGAGTTGTAACACAGACAATGTTCTGCAACTTATATCCAAATACAAACTTGTATAAACGACAATACTCTAGGCAAGCACATACAGCAAGCAGCCGCAAGTGTCCATGCTGTCCTGGATCCACCTTCCACCCTCCAGGCATACACATTTTGAGGAGGCATATCTATTCAGAAAAAAGGTGGACAGATTTGGATAAGGCTCATATGTACTGAATATGCGAGAACTGTGAATATGCAGTAGAACTGGTAGCTCTACCCTGGGCTCATATCTGTCACCCAGTCTCCTTAATAGTAAAAAAAGTCGGGATGTTTTGAATCAGCATGTCAAGATGTTGTCCTCAATTTCTCGGGGATTCACGAACATTTGAATCCTGCAACACAGGGAAGTCCCTTTCCCTTAAAACAACTATAACACCACCATAACCTGCACAGTGTGTCAGATACAGTAGGAAGGACCACAAAGAGATTGTGATTGGTTTAGACGCCACTTAAACTTGGACCCTAGACAAACATTTTCTTGGACCACCCCCCTGCAATTTTGCTCTCCACCTCCTCTGAGACATATTGTAAGTAGAAGCTAGACTGAAAATCAATTTACTGCAGCAGATCAGGCAGCAATTGCCATTGGTTTCCAGAGATTACGGCATAGCATTACCACTCACTGACTGGTTGCTAGAGGTTTCAGCACACATTACAGCTCAATAATTAGTTGCTAGATGTTACAGCACATGATTGCTGCTTGCTGATTGGTTGCTCGAGGTTACTGCACATCATTACTGCTCACTGACTGGTTGCTAGAGAATACTGCACATCCTTACTGCTCACTGATTGGTTGATAGAGGTTACTACACATTATCGCTCACTAATTAGTTGCTAGAGGTTACTGCACATCATTACCGCTTACCCATTGGTTGCTAGAGGTTACTGCACATCCTTACCACTCACTGATTGGTTGCTAGAGGTTACTGCACATCATTACTGCTAACTGATTGGTTGCTAGAGGGGACTGTACATCAATATTGTTCACTGATCGGTTGCTAGAAATTATAGCAGATCACTACTTTTCACTGATTGGTTGCTATTGGTTACTGTGCATTATTACCACTTACTTATTAATTGCTATGAGTTACAGTGCATCATTACAGCTCACTAATTGCTAGAGATTACAGCACTCGTAATGTCTCACTGATTGGTTTCTGAAGGTTACAGCACATCATCTCCTTACAGCCTGTACACCATGGACTGGGAAGGTGAGAGGACCCACCAATAGGTGGAAAACCTACCTAGAACTCCTAGGATCAGTGACAGTGCTGAGAGGAAGGGTGTTATCAGTGGCAGTGCTGGGGGATGAGATAAATGGCAGTGCTGGGGGGATGTGATGAATGACAGTGATAGTGGGGAGATGGGATCAGTGGCAGTGCTGGATGGGGATGGGAGGTGACAATTCTACACCAGCCACCAATGGTAGAGGGGATTTACACTGATGACCAATGTAAGGGGGGGGATGGGTTTACACTGACCACCAGTGTAAGGGCAATTCTGCACTTACCACAAATGTAAAGGGAAATTTACACTGACCACCAATGTAATGGGGAATTTGCACTAAGCACCAATGTAATGAAAAATTTAGACTGACAACCGATTTTACACCTGCAACCAATACATTTCTACACTGGCCACCAATTTTAGGGGGGCTTCTACATGGGTCACCAATGTAAGGGAGGATTCAACACTGACCACAAACACAAGTTAGGATTTTTTACCAAATACAAGAAGACTTTCTACACCAAGCCCCAATGTAATGAGAAAATATACACTGACCACCAATGTAACTGAGACATTTAACCATTTAGGTCAGGGACTTTTTTCTGCATTTCTAGCGCATGGAGCAGCTCATTGAAATGAATGGGCTGCCCTACAAGCAATGTTCATCTTTATTTACCCAGTCAGTACACCTTTGCATCCTAAATTTCCCTGCTAACCACTGCATCCCAAACCTCCTCCATCCTCTCCACTTCACCCCCCCCACCTTAACTCTACATGCCTCCTCTGCTCATCTTTGTAACCACCTTCCTTACCTTTGTACATCCCCTCCTTGCTCACCTGTGCACCCCAAACTATAACTCCTTCTCTGCCTACCTCTGCACACACAACACTCCCCTTTCCCCACCACCACCACTTTGCTTACCTTGCAGAACAGGCTCAGTGACCACAGTTGCAGGCAGGACTTTCATGTCCCTTTACCTCCCATGGGCAGTATTCATCAGAGGTGATGGTGGCTGGAACCTCAGGGGGGCATAATATACATATGAATGTCCCAGTGCCACCACTATTTATATGTGAATGCTGACATGGGACACAGCACAGCATGAAGACTTTAAAGGTACAAGGGAGTGTAAACTGGGACAGTTGGCAAGTATGGGCCAGCTGATATGGGCCCCACAACGACTGGGCCCAAAGCAGCTACCCCTTGCCCCCCTTAAAAACAGCCCTGTTCAAGACAAAAAGAAGAAATCTAGTGTGGCTATTTTGTTTGGGTACATGATTTTAATTTGGATACCTTACAGGTACTTTATGGGTACAGACAGAGTGTATTAATAGTTTAATTAGGATTAGAAACAGTTTTCTATATTTAATAAAAGT